TAGAGTGGTGTTTAGATATCTACCTGTGTAGAGTGGTGTTTAGATATCTACCTGTGTAGAGTGATGTTTAGATATCTACCTGTGTAGAGTGGTGTTTAGATATCTACCTGTGTAGAGTGGTGTCTAGATATCTACCTGTGTAGAGTGGTGTTTAGATATCTACCTGTGTAGAGTGGTGTATAAATATCTACCTGTGTAGAGTGGTGTTTAGATATCTACCTGTGTAGAGTAGTGTCTAGATATCTACCTTTGTAGAGTGGTGTCTAGATATCTACCTGTGTAGAGTGGTGTCTAGATATCTACCTGTGTAGAGTGGTGTCTAGATATCTACCTGTGTTTTCTGCAGTGATGTCTAAGTATCTTCCTGTGTACATAGGTGTCTGAATATCTATCTGTGTACCCTGTGTTTAGTAGTGTCTAGATATCTACCTGTGTGCCAGGTTTCTTCCAGGTATGGAGTAGTGTCTAGATATCTACCTATGTGCCAGGTATGGAGTAGTGTCTAAATATCTACCTGTGTACCATGTATAAAGTAGTGTCTAGATATCTACCTGTGTGCCAGGTTTCAACCAGGTATGGAATGATGTCTAGATATCTATCTTTGTGCCAGGAGTTATGTCTAGATATCTATCTGTGTGCCAGGTATGGAGAAGTGTCTAGATATCTACCTGTGTGCCAGGTATGGAGTAGTTTCTAGATATATACCAGTGTGCCAGGTATGGAGTAGTGTCTAACTAGAACTGTCCAAACGGGACAAAATACCCCCCGCTGGGTTTTTTCAGAAGCAAGTTTTTCCATAATAAAGATATGTATCACACATGAATTATGAAATTTTTCTTCCAGTGACCTTGAAATTCCCTAAATGACCTTGGGTCAAGGTCATGACATACCCTTGGGTCATGGGCAATCTTTGTGTGAAATGAGAACCTACCAAGTTTATCCATAAAAAAGAAATGGACCGGAAAGAATTATGAACTTTTTCTTCCAGTGACCTTGAACTACCCCAAATGACCTTGGGTCAAGGTCATGACACACCCTTGGGTCATGGGCAATCTTTGCGTGAAATGAGAACCTACCAAGATTATCCATAAGAAAGATGTGGACTGGACACAAATTATGAACTTCTTCTTCCATTGACCTTGAACTTCCCCATTTGACCTTGGGTCAAGGTCATGACACACCCATGGGTCATGGGCAATCTTTGTGTGAAATGAGAACCTACCAAGTTTATCCATAAGAAAGATATGGACCGGAAACGAATTATGAACTTTTTCTTCCAGTGACCTTGAACTTCACCGAATGACCTTGGGTCAAGGTCATGACACACCCTTGGGTCATGGGCAATCTTTGAGTGAAATGAGAACCTACCAAGTTTATCCATAAAAAAGATATGGACCGGACACGAATTATGAACTTTTTCTTCCAGTGACCTTGAACTTCCCCATTTGACCTTGGGTCAAGATCATGACACACCCTTGGGTCATGGGCAATCTTTGTGTGAAATGAGAACCTACCAATTTAATCCATAAGAAAGATATGGACCGGAAACGAATTATGAACTTTTTCTTCCAGTGACCTTGAACTTCCCCAAATGACCTTGGGTCAAGGTCATGACACATCCTTGGGTCATGGGCAATCTTTGTGTGAAATGAGAACCTACCAAGTTTATCCATAAGAAATCATGGACCGGACACGAATTATGAACTTTTTCTTCCAGTGACCTTGAACTTCCCCAAATGACCTTGGGTCAAGGTCATGACACACCCTTACGTCATGGGCAATCTTTGTGTGGAGTAGTAGATTCTAATGTCCCTCCATAAGAAAGATATGGACCTGACACGTTTGCACAGACAGACGGACAAGGTGATTTCTATATACCCCCCAAACTTCGTTTGCGGGGGGTATAAATATCTACCTGTGTACCATGTATAAAGTAGTGTCTAGATATCTACCTGTGTGCCAGGTTTCAACCAGGTATGGAATGATGTCTAGATATCTATCTTTGTGCCAGGTATGGAGTGATGTCTAGATATCTAGCTGTGTGCCAGGTATGGAGTAGTGTCTAGATATCTACCTGTGTGCCAGGTGTGAAGTAGTGTCTAGATATCTAATCTACCTGTGTGCCAGGTATGGAGTAGTGTCTAGATATCTATCTGTGTGCCAGGTATGGAGAAGTGTCTAGATATCTACCTGTGTGCCAGGTGTGAAGTAGTGTCTAGATATCTACATGTGTGCCAGGTATGGAGTGGTTTCTAGATATATACCAGTGTGCCAGGTATGGAGTAGTGTCTAAATATCTACCTGTGTACCATGTATAAAGTAGTGTTTAGATATCTACCTGTGTGCCAGGTTCCCACTAGGGCTGTGTACTGAGCCAAAAATTTCGATATGATACGATACAATATTTTTTAAAGCGATATGCGATATATTGGATTCTGAAACAAGTCCATCAGCAAAGGCTTCTAAATCATTTTAATGCATACATTTCATAACAATTAAGTGTTTTATTACCCATTTTAAAGTACTTGTCTCATTGTCTTTAAAAATCACACTTCAATTAAAACTTTTGATGACAGTAAAATCAACATGTTCAAAAAATTTTTTCTATGTATTTTGTAATAATATAAAAACTTTTTTATTTCCTTAGAAATTATATATTTATTGAAGGTTTTAATTCAAAAAAGTAAAATATAATCTTTGGTGATTGAAATTCCCATCTTTTAAACAGAATTTGAAGAAAAAATGTACTTGTGTCCGCTACGTATTGGAAGTTACTTTTCGATACGATATTTTTCTTGTGTGCCACGTATCGATATATCGATATATTGATACAGCCCTAGTTCCCACCAGGTATGGAGTAGTGTCTAGATATCTTTCTGTGTGCCAGGTGTGGAGTAGTGTATAGATATTTTCCTGTGTGCCAGGTATGTAGTGATGTCTAGATATCTATCTGTGTGCCAGGTATGGAGAAGTGTCTAGATATCTACCTGTGTACCAGGTATGGAGTAATGTCTATATGTTTACCTGTGTGCCAGGTATGTAGAAGTGTCTAGATAACTACCTGTGTGCCACGTGTGGAGTATGTCTAGATATATATCTGTGTGACTGGTATGGAGAAGTGTCTAGATATCTAATTGTGTGACAGGTATGGAGTAGTGTCTATATATCTATCTGAGTGACAGGTATGGTGTAATGGCTATATATCTACCCATGTGACAGGTATGAAGTAGTGTCTAGATATCTACCTGCGTGCCAGGTATGGAGTAGTGTCTAGATATCTACCTGTGTGCCAGGTATGGAGTAGTGTTTAGATATCTACCTGTTTGCCAGGTATGGAGCAATGTGTAGATGTGTACCTGTGTACCAGTTATGGAGTAGTGTCTAGATATCTACCTGTGTGCCAGGTATGGTGTATTGTATAGATATCTACCTGTGTGCCAGGTATGGAGTAATGTTTAGATATCTACCTGTGTGCCAGGTATGGAGTAGCATCTAGATATCTACCTGTGTGCCAGGTATGGAGTAGTGTCTAGATATCTACCTGTGTGCCAGGTTTCTTCCAGGTATGGAGTAGTGTCTAGATATCTACCTGTGTAACAGGTGTGGAGTAGTGTCTAGATATCTAGCTGTGTGCCAGGTATGGAGTAGTGTCTAGATATCTACCTGTGTGCCAGGTATGGAGTAGTGTCTAGAAATCAACCTGTGTAACAGGTATGGAGTAATGTCTAGATATCTATCTGTGTGCCAGGTGTGGAGTAATGTTTAGATGTTTACCTGTGTACCAGGTATGGAGAAGTGTTTAGATTACTACCTGTGTGACAGGTATGGAGTATGTCTAGATATCTATCTGTGTGACAGGTATGGAGTAATGTCTAGATATCTATCTGTGTGACAGGTGTGGAGTAGTGTCTATATATCTACCTGTGTAACAGGTATGGAGTAGTGTTTAGATTACTACCTGTGTGCCAGGTGTGGAGTAGTGTCTAGATATCTACCTGTATGCCAGGTATGGAGTAGTGTCTAGATATCTACCTGTGTGCCAGGTATGGAGTAGTGTCTAGATATCTACCTGTGTGCCAGGTATGGAGTAGTGTCTAGATATCTACCTGTGTGCCAGGTGTGGAGTAGTGTCTAGATATCTACCTGTGTGCCAGGTATGGAGTAATGTTTAGATATCTACCTGTGTGCCAGGTGTGGAGTAGTGTCTAGATAACTACCTGTGTGCCAGGTGTGGAGTAGTGTCTAGATATCTACCTGTGTGCCAGGTATGGAGTAGTGTCTAGATATCTACCTGTGTGCCAGGTGTGGAGTAGTGTCTAGATATCTACCTGTGTGCCAGGTATGGAGTAGTGTCTTGATAACTACCTGTGTGCCAGGTATGGAGTAATGTCTAGATATCTACCAGTATGCCAGGTGTGGTGTGGAGTCTGTATATTTACCTGTATGCATGGTGTGGTGTATGATATCTAGCTGTGTGTCCGGTGCGGTGAGGATGTTACTTGTGGTGATGTACCTGTGATTTACCTGTGTGGAGTTGTCTCTAGTTATCTACCTGTGTTGAGTTTTCTCTAGTTATCTACCTATGTGGAGTGGTCTCTAGTTATCTACCTGTGTGGAGTTGTCTCTAGTTATCTACCTGTGTTGAGTTGTCTCTAGTTATCTACCTGTGTGGAGTTGTCTCTAGTTATCTACCTGTGTGTGGAGTTGTCTCTAGTTATCTACCTGTGTGGAGTAATCTCTAGTTACCTACCTGTGTGCCCGGTGTGGTGTGGTGTTTTATATCTACCTGTGTGGAGTTGTCTCTAGTTATCTACCTGTGTGCCCGGTGTGGTGGGTTTGTTTTATATCTATCTGTGTGCCTGGTGTGGTGTGGTGATTTATATCTACCTGTGTGCCTGGTGTTGTGTGGTGATTTATATCTACCTGTGTGCCCGGTGTGGTGTGGTGTGGTGTTTTATATCTACCTGTGTGCCCGCTGTGGTGTGGTGTTTTATATCTACCTGTGTGCCCGGTGTGGTGTGGTGAGGATGTTACTGGTGGTGATATAAAAGTCTTCATCATTGTCACTGCTGCTCATCTCATCATCCTCCACAATAAACTGATCAAGGCTGTCAAACAACAGACATGCCAGGTAAAAATATATACAGGGAAATAACATTATTTTTTTAATATTTCAAAAAATCCCTCTGACTATAAAATGACCATATTGTTTTTTCAAAAATGTACCGAGCTATTCATCAGGAACTTATTTCCAGATTAAATAAAATACATGTACAAAATGAACATTTACTTAGGTACTTTATGTATAAAGTCATGCTCTCTCTCCCTCTTACACAAAGACTTTACTGGTATATATACTAAATTCTTACAATGTTCCAATGTCTTGTTATAATCTTTAATCATAATAATGTGAATGCATTGATTTTCAAATGGTTATTCTACCTGGTTAAAGTTTTTAACTGATAAGTCATGCAATATAGTCATCACAAAAATAGGAAAATCTGCCAAACCTTGTGTTCTTCTTTGGAGTTTCCTTTGGTGACACTTTCTTGGGTGCTTTCATCTTCTGGAAGACTGCAACAATCAACATACAATATTAAATAGCATAATGACATTTCATTATTAGAGTGTCTAAGGGACTTTGCAAACACCTGCGTAAAACCTGTTACAAAGGTAGCAAACACCTGTGTAGGGTAGTATATTTAAGAGGGTGTCTAAACTCACTCTGGTATACATTACATGATTCTGGTATACATTACATGATTCTGGTATACATTACATGATTCTGGTATACATCACTAGATTCACTCTTGTAATGCTTTGGTGTCCTGTAATTTAAAATTCATTATTCTGAGTATGAGTATAAATAAAATCCTTATATTGTATGTCTCTTTTATCTGTGATTTGTAACAGTTGTCATACTTGCCTCCAGTGGACGGTACTAGGTTGTTCTTGACCAGTTTTACTGGATGCTTTGTTCTTTTTAGCAGAAAAGCCTCGATCAGAGAGAAAATCATCGGAATCGGACGACAGAATTCCCTCATCCCACTGTAACCCTGCCCCCTTAACATCAGGTAAATCATTGTCTGAGTCTGAGGAAATGTCCACATATTTTGCTGTTTTCAATTTACTGGCACTGTTTCCCACTTTGTCTTTGGTGTGTTTTATCCTTTGATCAATGTCTGGTAAAGAGTCATCCAAGTCTGATGAATTTTCTACTATACATTCCTTTTCTTCATTTAAATCTTCAGTCCCATTATCCAGTATGACCTTTTCCACCTCTGGAGTTATTCTCACATTTGTAACACCTGGTGCCTTTTGGACAACATTCTTTGTTACAGGAGTAAAGAGGCCATCACTAAAGCTTTCTTCATCGCTGCTGAAGTTAGTGTGACCCATACTTCCACTTTCTTCCTTACTTTTACATTTCTCTGAATTTTCAATGAAATTTTCCTCTGAGGACAAATTCTGTTCTGTTTTAAAATATCTATCCCCCTCCCTCTCTACATAATGGATATCAAGGTTTTGTGTAGCTTTCCCAGAAGAAATTTTGCTTCCATGATCATCTTTTTGTGAACCTTTGATGAAGCTTGTCTGGAATGATCTCTCTTCTACCTCCACATATGAAGACCCCGACTCTGTATCCTCATCAAAGTCTTTCTGGCTATGAACAACTGCACTGGTCTGTAAGGAAACATCTTCTATTTCAACATAAGAGGAATCAGTACTTTCTTCCACACGATTGGATACTTCTTCTGTCTCAACATCAGTTACTATAACAATCGGTTCATGAACAGAATATATTCCAGAGCTATCACTGCTGTTCTGCAATAAATCATTCTGAGAGGAATCAGTTCCAGGTTTCTGAGATTTAGAAACAGATAAACATTTTACCGATATCTCTTTGACATCTGCTTGAGCTGAAGCGTCCTCAATCTCTATGTAGGAAGAGTTATCTGTCCTTTCTGCACTCTCGACAGAACTCTCGGGGATGCTCTGTAAATCTTCTAATGTCTGGACAGCTTCCTCTGGAATATCATCACCTAAACCTTCCATCACAGTCTGAAAAGCAGGACCAGGCTCCAATACCTCACAAGGAGCTGTGGTGTAAAGCTGTGTTTCTTCATGTCTTGATCTGTTAACCTGCATCACACTTATGGAATTAGTCAGATCTTCCTTAGGACAGTGTGATTGTTTTCCATCTTTCATTATATTGAGCTGTCTATAAGAATCTTCCTCAGTTAAGCTTTGTCTTGTACTTTTGTTTTGTGAACTCTCTTTTTCTGAAAGGTTGGAACTACTGGACAAGTCTAGAAGCTTGTCAATGCTTTCTCTGCTGTGAATTCTTGTAGATTCTTGAATGGGATTTCCAACTTCGACAGTTGAAATGGAGTACCTTTTGTCCCTGTTTATAGGAAAAACTGGTGATATATTTTCTGTATCTGCTGATGGAATAATGGATATGCGAGTTGTCTTCTTCAGTTTTTTCTTTGTTTCTTTCCATTCCTTAGTTAAATCAATACAGGCTTTGGATTTCCTGGGTAAGACTTGTTCTATAAAGTCTTCATTACTGCTATGTATTTGTTTCTCCTGCAGTGGTGATGAGTTAAAAGAGAGCTTGTGTTTTTCTGTAACTTTCTCTAGGAGGGGATTTTCTTTGGATCTGTGGGCATTCAGTGATTCCTTTTCTGTAAAAAAAAAAAACATAGGTAATCAGAGATTACAGAGCTCACCTCAACGAATGTTGTCTTTAAGTAAGGCAAAGTCACACAATTAACCAACAAAAAGTGTACATCCAAAAAATGCAAAATTTATGCAATTTTGATTTGATACTTTGGAATAGACCTATATAAAAACTTCAAACTAGTACTTCATCATGAAAACGTAATTAAAATCCAGCATCTGAAGCAAGTTTCAGAGTTTTATCCCTTGATGCATCATTTGTGCAAGTTTGGTTTATATAAGTCTTAAAGTTTCTTGGTAATAGACCTGCACCCATAACTTTTATGAGGTCCATTATCTGGAAAATGTGTGTCGAATTCAGCATCTGAAGCAAGTCCATTAGTGTGCATCCTAAGATGTATCATCCATGCAAGTTTGCTCAACATAGAGCTCAAAGTTACTTGGAAATGAAACCTGTATAAAAAACTAACCTTTCCACTAATCCAGAAAATGTAGGTCAGATTCAGCATCCGAAGCCAGCCTAGTAGAATGCACCCTTAGATGTACCATCCATGCAAGTTTGGTCATTATAGGGCTCAAAGTTACTTGGAAATGAATCCTGCACCAAAAACTTGAACCTGTACACTCGTCCAGAAAATGTAGGTCAGATTCAGCATCGGAAGCAAGTCTGGTAGTATGCATCCTAAGATGTATCATCCATGCAAGTTTAGTCATTATAGGGCTCATAGTACCTTGGAAATGAAACCTGCACCAAAAACTTTAACCTGTTCACTCAACCGGAAAATGTAGGTCAGATTCAGCATCCGAAGCAAGTCTGGTAGTATGCATCCTAAGATATACCATCCATGCAAGTTTGGTCATTATAGGGCTCATAGTCACTTGGAAATGAAACCTGCACCAATACTTTAACCTCTTCACTCAACTGGAAAATGTAGGTCAGATTCAGCATCCGAAGCAAGTCTGGTAGTATGCATCCTAAGATGTACCATCCATGCAAGTTTGGTCATTATAGGGCTCATAGTAACTTGGAAATGAAACCTGCACCAAATACTTTAACCTGTTCACTAAACCGAAAAATGTAGGTCAGATTCAGCATCAGAAGCAAGTCTGGTAGTATGCATCCTAAGATGTAACATCCATGCAAGTTTGGTCACTATAGTGCTTATAGTTACTCGGAAATGAGACCTGCACAGAAACATAAACGCCGACACCGACACCGAGGGTATTACATAAGCTCCCCCAACTTCGTTGAGGTGAGATAAAAAAGGTATGAACTATTAAAATTCAAAGACAAAAAATATTCTGAGAAAATTATTTGGCACAACATCCCATTTGAAATTAATATCACCAATGAAATATTGGTGCTCAAAGCATGATACATATTGTGACCCCACCCTATCCCACTGATCATAATTTAGACAATTTGAAATCTACACTACCCCAGGATGCTTCAACATAAGTTTCAGCTTTTCTGGCCCAGTGGTTCTTGAGAAGAAGATTTTTAAAGATTTTTCCTGTATGTTTCTATGTAAAACTTGGATTCCCATTGTGGCCCCACCCTACCCCCCGGGGTCATGATTTGAACAATTTAGAATCTACACTACACCAGGATACTTCCACATAAGTTTCAGCTTTTTTGGCCAAGTGGTTCCTGAGAAGAAGATTTTTAAAGATTTTTCCTAAATATTTCTATGTAAAACTTTGATTCCCCAATGTGGCCCCATCCAAGCCCCGAGGGTCATGATTTGAGCAACTTAGAATCTACACTACACCAGGATCATTCCACAAATGTTTCAGCTTTTCTGGCCCAGTGGTTCTTGAGAAGAAGATTTTTAAAGATTTTTCCTATATGTTTCTATGTTAAACTTTGATTCCCCATAGTGGCCCCATCCAACCCCCGGGGGTCATGATTTGAACAATTCAGAATCTACACTACCCCAGGATGCTTCCTCATAAGTTTCAGCTTTTCTGGCCCAGTGGTTCTTGAGAAGAAGATTTTTAAAGATTTTTCCTATATATTTCTATGTAAAACTTTGATTCCCCATTGTGGGCCCGCCCTATCCCCGGGGGTCATGATTTGAATAATTTTGAATCTACACTTTCCCAGGATGCTTATACATAAGTTTCAGCTTTTCTGGCCAAGTGGTTCTTGAGAAGATTTTTTAATAACCCCACCCTATTTTTGTCTTTTCTTGATTATCTCCCCTTGTGAGAAAACTTGGCCCTTCATTTTAAGAATTTAAATTTCCCTTAACCCAAGGATGCTTTGCACCAAGTTTGGTCAAAATTGGCCCAGTGGTTCTTGAGAAGATTAGTCGAAAATGTAGAAAAGTTTACAGACAGACGGACGACGGACAAAATGTGATCAGAAAAGCTCACTTGAGCCTTCGGTTCAGGTGAGCTAAAAACTAAAGATTGAAATATACCTTTATCTGAACCATTCGCCACTTTACCAACTCTGGATTTTGTTGATCTTTTTTTGCTACTCTTGGACAACTGTAAAAATTTAAGTCACATTAATCATTTCATACAATTAATGAAAGAAAAAAATTAATGAAGTAAATTGTTTTTTGTACAAATAAAAAAAATTGTTTGCACAAACAGGCTTCTCTTTATTAGACATACTGTCTTCAGTGCTGTTTCTAAATTATTGTATTTGAACCATCCCAACTGATCTCCCATCTTTTTGAACATCTCAGCAACATTTGCTTTTGGGTCACATGATAAAGGTGTACTGGTACACTGTACAGACTCTGTCTCCGTTGGTGTATCAGGAGCAGTCTCTTCACTCATTCTGAAGTCTCTAAAGTATCATATATTGTTAGTTGTCAGTTTTGATGTTTATGCAGAAACATTACTTACATAAGTAACATTTTATGGATGACTTTACTTTACCGGTCCCCAGAATATCACACCTTATGTGACTTCAATATATACATGAGAGCGTCTAAATTTTTAAAACAGTTTTGACCCCCATATCAAATTTTACAATTAAAAGTTTAGTTTAAAATTTTGTTTTTATTAGAAGTTCTTAACCTTGTTCTCTAAAAAAAATTGACAATTCAGTGTAAAGGATCCAGAAAACAATTAAGTGAACAAAGTGCATGAGGAACATATGCATTAGTGCCATTTCTTTTGTAATTAAGCATTTTTTGTTCAGGTAAACAAACCAAAGAGATGTTCTTAAAGAGGAATTAGGATCTTGCAAAAATTATATATAAATGCAACTGAATATCGTAATCTAGGACAAGATACTACCCCTAGTCTCTTGGATGGTATGAGAGTACCAGATTAACCCATGCAGCCAGGAGTAAGACTTATCTCTCAGACCGATGCAAGACTAACCCTCATCAGTCAAAAACTTGCAGAAGGACTAACCCAAACCTTTCAGTAGGTGCAAGACTAACACTAGCCAGCAGGTCTGGTACAATCACTAGATTTAGCTATGTAGCTTGATTTACCTACTTAGCTTTATCTTCCTACCTGAGGTAGCTTTATTTAGCTACCAAATCAATTTATTTCTATAAAAAAGCATTTTTCTCAGGGTGTGCACTAGGGATGTGCGATTTGATTGGTATATCGTGATTTTTTGTTGCGTGATACATATCGTGATACGGAGACCTAAATACCGGTCTTTAGGTACATATTATAAAGTCCAGAAATTATTCATTTATTTGTTCAATCTTTCAAATTACAATTACAGAAAGTATAAAAAATGTTGTAAAAAGTGAAAAGAACAGCATCTTACCATCCAAACATAATTGATTTTATATACATAAAAATTTCAAGAAAGTAAAATTTTGTTTCTCTAGCATATTTTTTAGAAAAATAATGACCGGACCTGGCCAATATCAGTTGACTAAAGTAAATCTTATGTCATTGTGCAATGAGACAGTGGAGAACGGCATCTTACCATCCAAACATAATTGATTTTATATAGGGCCTAAATAAAAATTTCAAGAAAGTAAAATTTTGTTTTTCTAGCATATTTTTTAGAAAAATAATGACAAGACCTGGCCAATATCAGTTGACTAAAGTAAATTTTATGTCATTGTGCAATGAGACAGTGGATCTTGGAAATCTGGGGACCCGTAAAGTAAAGTCTATCCCATCTTATGTACATACTATTTCGGTTTAAGATAGGTTTAAATAAATACAAATTATTTATCAAAAAAAACAAAACATCAACGGTGATGAATAAGAACTCTTCTTAAAATAAAGTAAAAATCACTCATCAAATTATGACTGATTACATGTTTTGCTATATAAAGCAATTGATACAGTTAGAAAATGGACACCCTTACGTTTCGGGACCCCGACGTTTATGACAACACGTTTCGGGACTTGGGTTAACACGTTTCGGGACTTGGGCTAAGACGTACGTTTCGGGACTTCTAAATATTTTGTTAAGGAAATGAAATAAAACTTGTTTACTTGTGTTTTTAAGTTTATAATTTCTTAGTTTGATACACAATTTATAATTTAAAAAGCACAGATTGGAGTTTTTATTAGTTTTTAAAGTTTGCATACGGCATGGAGCACGCCTGCGAGAAAATCAAAGTCTCTTTAATTTCTTATTTTAGTATTTGATATATTACCTTTATAAAATAGTTGGTTAACATTTGACCAAAATTTAATTCAAAAAAAATTTTTTTAAATATGTATTTGATTTATTTATAGTGTTTGATACGAGAGAATACAGTCGTAACTGCTGTGTGAAGACCACGGACCTAAGACTATCTTTCTCTCCATTTAAAAAAAAACATATTTATTTATTTACAAAGGCTCAAGCTAGCACACGAGCAGTAAAAACTTTACGTTTTACGGGTAGTTGTTTTAAATCAGAATCTGAAATGTTCCATATTCAACTTTTTAAACATCAATTTATAGAATTTATAATTATTATTTTAAAGAAAGTTAATCCCTCGAAAGTTCCAAATATTCCCGTTACATATTATTGTACTATCAAAATTGTTAATTTGTCTACAATGATATTCTCAATTTATTTCTGAAACTCAATTATGTTTTTAAAGCTGTAGGCACATGACACATCTCAAAATATTACTAACCGTGTGTTCCTAACATATTCTTTGAAATTTAAAACTAAAGACATTATTTGAAACCAAATGAAATCATACAAAACATTCCTCATAATTGTTGTTATTCATAGAAATGGTCAGGCTCCTGGCATTTTTTGATAAAAAAAAAAAATATTTGAAACCGTTTGGGAAAAAATAGACAAAATCAAGTTCAAAACGTATTGAAAACCTATCTTTTATATTGCAATCATGGGCACGTTATCGCTTATTTATATTGCCATTTTGGTTTCAAAGATAATTCAGTCCAATGTGCTTAACACCAACACCTGACCTTAGTTGTTGTTTTAACAATTTACCGACATATTTTTTAAAGATATAAAACAGTTGGAAATCATGTCAACTACTTAAAGTTTGCCCCCCCCCCCCCCCCCCTTACCACACACTCAAGAAAAAATAACTAAAAAAAAAAAAAATTTGATAATATAGAAATAAAAATGAATTTTGGAGAGAGTAGTATTTTTTGAAATCATATTAAAATTCTTTGCAATGGATGTGTAAGAATAATATGGAAAAATTAACCAACGTCGTATTTGTCAGGTCCCGAAACGTCGTGGTCCCGAAACATCTTGCACCCTTATGTTCAATAGTGTTGTTACGATAGTCGCCGCACTTTTTTGTGCGCAATAAATATACGGTTTTTTTTGAGCAGGTTTAAATATTCACCAAAGGGACGTCACTCTAATTGGCGGTAAACAAAATGGCGAACGTGCATGGTGAAGAGGTTGACGCCCAGTTATATTCATATCCTGGTGCTATTCAAAATATTTTTTTCGGAGAGCTATTCAATTTGATAATCTGTAAAAGCGATTTTACACTGTAACGAGTGGCATGTACGTTTACATAATCCATGGCATAAATTAACCCTACATAAAGAAAAATAATTATTATTATAACACGCACCTTTCAACCGGAAGAGAAATTGAATTTCGCGCACTTTCGTATGTCGCAAAATATTGCAGTCAGAGTGCAATGTGATTTGCTCAATACTTTGAATTTAATCAGCTTGAACAATCAAACATTTCACGAACTTGAAATGTTAGTACAAAACTTTATGATAATCTTCATGTTAATGAAATTCATAAATTATGAATTTTGCAGCATTCGTAATCTGACCATCGCTGAATTTTGAGAGTTTGACAAACCCAAACCTGTCAGATTTTGGTAAGTGGACCCTTTTGGATGCATTTTTCAGTGGAAATAACAAAATGTTTCAAGAAAATATCTATGATTGTTCATTTTACACATTTTGTGAAAATAATATCAAGGAAATCATTCTAAATAGGTAGGTTTCTGAAGCAGTTTGCTTTGGTAATTAGCACTGAAGCAGAATACTGTGCTATTTTAATATTTATTTATTTACTCAAACCCAATAAGGGGTTGAATATTATATAAAACATATAAGGTCATCAATTTACCTAGTTTAAAACATATTATTCCATCTATTCATTTTGTAACGTTTTAAAAAAAAAAATGAGCTATATCTTTGAATCTCCACACCAATGTACCCTTTCACAATAACTGCGGTACTACTCTTTTGCAGGATAAATTAATAACGTTTGGTTAAGTTTTTGTTTATAGATAATTTAATGACGTTTATTTTAGTCATATTTCCCCAAAATATATTGCCCTGCAAAAGAACAGTATGCTTTAACAGTATAAATGGCATGCAGAGAATGATTGAGCTAGCTATCTTGTAAATGATTTGCATCTTCTTCTGTAGTGATAACTTTCGGATGATATTTTGTAATGATTCCAATCGTAATTTTATTTATTGATTTCCTGTGTTCAGGACTCGACATTAACGCTTGTCCGCTTGTCCGGTACCAATGAAAAAAAATTTCGGACAAGTGAATATTGCTGGGCACTTGTCCGATTAGACAAGTGCATTTTAATGTAAAGGGGTCTTTAATAAAAAGAACGACTGTTGAAAAAAATCAAGACGGAAGCTGTACATAAAATCCAAACTTCGATCCCGATATATATCACTATATTAATATTGAGTTCACATTCGATCGGGATCGAAGTTCACAAATTGCATACTACTGAAAAATCATGGAAGATACGAACCGAAGTGTGAATATTGTTTGATGTTGACAGTTTCACTTGTGGACATTTATGTTATTGTCAGGACAGAAAGCCTAAATAAAATTTCGCTTTATGTGTCTGTTGTATTCATCAATAACATCAAGAATCAATCAAGGGCATGACATGTGTAAATAAATGGACTTAATTTTAATTTTCAAGTTGAAACTATTGAACTTTATTGAAAATTTTCGGACAAGTGAAGTTGAAATTCGGACAAGTAAATGTCTTGGTCACTTGTCGAATGGACAGGTAGGAAAAAAAGTTAATGTCAAGCCCTGGTGTTTTGATTGGACGAAAAACTACTTTCTTGACCTAGCTTTTATTGAGAAAAATCCAACAAATACTTCTAGTCTCTGTAAGGTAAATGATTACAGAAACTTAAACATGTTACATAAACATAATTCACAAAACTGGCAACAAACAGGAGAGAGTGTGGAATATAATGTTTATGTCACTGTCAAATCATGAGTGTGAATTTTTAAATCATCATGGTTTTTTGTTGTTTATGTCAACATGGTCAAGGACGAATTCTTCTAAAGTCTACTTGTATTTAGGATATTTGTAGACTTCAACAATATTTTAAGGAGTTTATAAGTTTATTTTTAATTATTGAATGTTTGAAAATTAAAGTTGAACTATTTTAATGTTCATTTAATTATGTTTCATTTCCACATCTCAGTCTGAAGTACAGAAATAACTGATTGTATGGAGGCTTCAAAAGAGAAATAATTTTAAAACTTTGTAATTGGAATTATAAGAATTAGATGGTCTTTTTCTCAGAATTTATTGATTAGTAAATGCATGCTTCTGTACTCACAAACTTTAGTTTTGTGAGTGCAAAAGCATGTATTTACAGTAACACATCGATGAATTCTGTAAAACAATATTTAATCATATAATGAAAGAACATTGAAGGATGTTCTATCCAGTGATTATAATTTATATTAATAGACCATACTGTAAACCAACTTTTATTCTTGTGCAAGAAATTTTTGTGAGGTTCGCGAGAGCCTTGTCATCGCGAATATTTCTTGCCGCAAACCGGTCCTTAAAATCTCTATTTCTATTATCAACAGATCAAAAAAGGCTTGACCATGAAAATTTATCAGCGCAAACTAGATTACCCTGGTAAATCGCGAAATAAAGGTGTCATGCATAAAGTTGGTTTACAGTATTGTATCTGTAAAATGATATTGTCCTATGGACCTGGTTAAACGTTAAAATTCATTCTGTATGTTGGCAATAAAGCAAATTATGGGCCCCTAGGTTTATAATTTTTACAAGCTCACATTGATGATTCAGGGCCCAACATTTTCTCTACTTTATGAAATTAATTCTCAGTTTTTTTTTTTTTTTTGTTTTTTGTTTTTTGATTTTGGGGAAGTATACTTCACTAGCCATTTTTTACTTAGTTTCATTTTACACTTTGTAACTGTGTTAATTAGTATATACATGTATAACAAATAAAATATACATAGAGAGGAATGCATTACTAGGTTATGAAATTTAATTCAGATATTTAAGTAGCAAGATACATATACAAATATATGTTGCAAGGGAAAGGTAATGAATAAAATTTATAATAATAAAGCTTATCAAAAATTCATCTCTGCAATAGAAGTGTGTATGGAGGCTAACAATCAATAAGGAATGTAGACTGTCATTGTTGGCTGATCCAAGACAAGTCAGTACCCTGTTTATAATGTATATATCTCTTATCAGTATAAACACGAAGTTCTCCTGATAATAATTAAGGTTTTGGTAATTGGTGATTTCCATACATGCTCTAGACTGGAGATTAGATAAGATTGGCTTTCTATGTCCTTTTCTGTATTCTCATGGCTTCTTGTATTAGTTAATAAAGGCATACTCTTTATTGTATAAGGCAACAACTCATGGTTTATGAAATGTCATGACATATTTGATGTTACTGGTCCCATTTGATGTTAACCATGTTAACCAGAATGTAAATGCAGTGCAATTAGATGTCAAAAAATCATTCCTTTAGTCTTTCATATGGGTCACAGAACCTTAGGTATTGATTTTCAAGTTTGTGTGTGCAGCTGAAATGCTCCTCATTTTTGTTGAGGCAGTCCCAGTATCTTTTTTATAACATGTATTGATTTTTACCAACTTTTTGTCTTAAAGGAAAATATTCTTTGTATAGTTTTGTCGTATGTTAAGAAAACACATATCAAATGAAGTTACTATTAATTTACTTGCCTTTCCCCCTCTTTTTATGATTTTTTAAAAGGATTTTCCTTTTTTGTCCACCATTTGATTTTAATGGTCTGAGATTAAGATTATTTACAGGTATAGAGTTGTTAATACATGCATATAATAATTGAAGACAATTTGAAACTAAACACTTTAGGAATGGTTTGAGAAAGACATATCAATTTTATATTGTAATGAGTTAATTTATAAAATCTTGATTTCACAATGAACGGTAGGATACAACAACAGGGAAAAAGTGTTAGAGGATTTTCAGGTAATGCAATTAATGAATATGGCCATGCAACATTATATTTTTGCATGAACACACATTTTTCGACTCCACAAAAACTGGAGTTTAATTAATATAATAAGGTCTTTATTTCCAAGCTTCAATTTAAAAAAAAATCCTTCAACATTTTGGCCTCTGGCTTAAATGTCTGTCAAGGTCAGAAGTGCAAGATTTTTGATACCAGTGGCCCTTTTTAGTTTATCTTAATGTATACATTTAACACTGTAATAAAATTTGCCTTTTACTTTGGAAAGGGCATATATGGGCAATGTATCTGCTTTCAAATTCTGCATTATGTTAAAATTTTATTGCCATAATTTTTTTTAAGCTTTGCTTTTTTTGACTGTTGTTTGCCATTAGCATGTAAAAAATTGGTTTAAGTTTTTGTTTTCATATTGTGAGGTAATCAAGTTTTAATCCAATCTTGCTCCCAAACACAGTATAAGATGTTACTGTTGTACTGTCTTGTATTAAAGAGAGTGACACTTATAAAGCACTTTTCCTGTATTTGTAATACTTTTACTATAAGGAAATACAATGTTTAATACTTTTTGTTGTAATTGTACTCTGAGGGAATGATACTTTTTTGTGATACTTGTAAGGGGGTGATTCTTTTTGTGGTATTTTTCCTGTATAAGGAGATGATACATTTTGTGGTACTTTGTCTTTTTAGGTCACCTGAGTAAACTCAGGTGACCTGTTGCTATCTGTTTTCGTCCGTCGTCGTGCGTCGTCCGTCGTGCGTTAACATTTGAACATTTTCAGCTTCTTCTCTGCAACCACTGAACCAATTTCAACCAAATTTGGCACAAAGCATCTATGGGTGAAGGGGAACAAAAATTGTGAATTTCATGATCCCTGCCCCCCTGGGGCCGGAGGGGTGGGGCCAAAACCACTAAAATTAATGCAATCTTTAAAAATCTTCTTCTTTACTCCTGGGCATCAAGCAGTCAAACTGTTTGCATGATTGTAATCAGCAATGAGTCCTCTACCAAAATTGTGAAATTCATGGCCCTGGGGTCAGGGGTTCTAGTTCTAGGGCGGGGCTAAATAAGTAGGTAGTGAAAATGCATTATTTCTTTGAAAATCTTCTTCTCTGCTCCTGGGTATTAAATAAACCAACTCAGTACATAGTTATGATGAGCAAGAGTGCCTCTAACAAAATTGTGAATTTTATGGCCCCAGGGTTCAGGGGTTCTGGTGTTAGGGTGGGGCTCTATTGATTATGTAGTGAAAATACATGAATTCTTTGAAAATCTTCTTCTCTGCTCCTGGGTATTAAATAAACTAACTAAGTACATAGTTATGATGAGCAAGAGTGCCTCTACCAAAATTGTGAATTTT